CGTGCGTGTGTGTATGTGTGTGTGTGTGTGCGTGTGTGTGTGTGTGTGTGTGAGTGTGTCCAACTGGTGGAGCCAGCAGCGATCCTTGGACTCAGAACGGTGCTATCTGCGCTTGACGATTTGACTCGACATCCCAGCCGCGACTGCTGGGCGGCGGCTCGTTGCACCCCTGACGGTGATGCGAGAAGGCATTCTGGGAGGGCAGGTCGCCGGCGCCCTCGGGCCCGGCGACCCAGGGACGCTCCCTCCTGAGGCTTCTTCCCTGCCCACTCGCTAAACCAATGTGCCCCAGGGCGTGCGCATGTCGGGGGCAGCGGCGGCCAACCTTTGCCACCTAGCAGAGGGTGAGTCGCGGCGCGGCTGCTGGCACATGAGCATGGCGACCACGGCCTGCCGCATGGGCGGGACCCCGTGTCGCGGTGCTAGCATACGCCCCACTCCGCCCCATGCCTGCAGCCCCCACCGGCCCCGAGCAAGCCCGGCCCCTGCCTGCCCGACTTCCGGCTCTCAGCAGCCCCTCCTGGACCCAAGCACAGCAGGCAGCCGCCCTCCCTGCAACAAACCAAACCCAAACCCTCACACCCAAATCAAACCTGTGCTTTGAAGGTCAACGCCCGTCTTTGAGTGACAATACGCCCCCTGCTATGCTTCCAAAACATGATGACAGGCACCATAGACGCCTACACCCAATTCCAGCTCAAGCCCTGGGACGTCGCCGCGGGCATCTGCATACTGGAGGAGGCCGGCGGCCGCGTCAGCACCGCAGACGGCCTCGCCTACTCTGTTTTCGACCGCTCCCTTCTGGCGGCCAACGACGCGCTGTACCCCGCCGTGCTCGAGAAGCTGGAGCCGCGGATGTCGGCGCTGCTGGCAGCAGGGGCGCAACTCGGGCCTGCGAACGTGCCGCCTGGGTATGGGGTCAAAGCGGGCGCCCAGCTGGAGTGAGGGGCGAGCAGGTCCTCTGAAAATTGTAGACTGGCGGTCTGCAAGGCTCTGCTCACACAGCAGGGCTTGACAACCCTCCTGACGGCGCCTGTAGTTGGCACGTGTGTAATCAAAGTCTTTTGGCTCAGGAAAGGGGAGCTGTTTGACCCAGGGTGGTGTTACAAGGCAGACAGACGTTCGCCCCTCGCGCATGAAGAATGAAGGGCACGGCTGCGACTGAGCGGCTGCAGGCAGGACGAGATGCGGCGGGGGCATCGGAACGTGGCGGCACGCTCTGACGAACTGGGCCGCGCCGCAGCGGGGGCGAAAAGAAGGAAGCGATTCGGCATGCAAATCGCTTTTGGGTCGGAAACTGAAAGAATAGGTGGGTGCTATCGGGAAGACAAGTTGAAGCTCGCCCAATCAGGCACAGCATCCGATTCAGGACGTTGCGCCGGCTGCGCAGACATGAATGGATGCCATGCGCCATCACGCACGACGCGGGCGGGCCGGAGTGGTTGCCCCGCTAATGGGCGGATTGAGGCGGTCACATGATGATGGGGAGAGGCACGAAAAAGACATTGCTGAAAAGGGAGGTAACGGTGTGGATGCTGCGCACTGTGGGCCTACTGCAACTTGCGTTGAGCAACCCTGGGCCAGAATGTCCGCCGCCGCGCAGCTGCCTGCCAATCCCCTTCAATGATAACAGGACGAATGGTATGCCTGCGCCAGCCTGCTCGGCTAGCCAGCCTGCGCCTGCGCCTGCAGCCTCGGCTGCGGCTGCTGCTGTGGTGGCGGCGGCGGCGGCGGCGGGGGTGTCCTGGACCGCTGGCCCTGCTCCCCTTGCTGCGGCCGATGCGCTGCCGCCTGCGGCTGCGCCGCCGCCCCCGCTGCCGCGCGCTGCTGCGGCGCCGTGCGCGGCTGGACCTTCTTTCGGGGCTCGAACAGCGGCCGGGGCTTGGGGGGCGGCTGCACGTCTCGCGCGAGGCTGAGGTGCTCGGGGCCGTCTGGGCAGTAGCGCGACGTGGTGTGGCGCACATACCCTGCAGATGTGGTGTGCAGGTAACTGCGCTGAAATGTTTGATATGGGACTAGATATCAGTTTCGTCTCTCTGAATCTCTCTATTTCATTTGTTGGGACACGGGTGGAAAGGGCACGGCACTTGCATGCGTCCAAGTCGGCCTGCATTCCGTCAGGGCGACACCTGGAGCACAGTGTCGCACACAGCAGCGCCGGGCGGCTGCTCGGTGCTCGTGTACAGTCGCCAGCACAGCAAGCCCTCTGGTGCCAGGTACTCACCGATGCCGTGACAGACCATGCAGCTCGCCAGGCCGCCGCGCCCGCCGCCGCGGCCCCGGCTGTAAGATCTTGCCCACCCGGTGCCGCTGCAGACCCCGCAGCGCGCTTCAAACGTGTGCGAAGGCGTCTGAAAACATGTTTGTTGGCGGGGAGGATTGCATGCTTGTGGCACCAAAGAGCAAACACTGAGGTTGTACAAGCCGTGGGCAGTCAATGGCAAGGTAGGCAGGCGGGTGTAGAGGGGAGGCAAAGCTGCGAGCCGGGTCGCACCCTGCAAATACGCTCCTCGGGGTCGCATGACTCCTCCTCCCGCATCATGGTCTGCATGGGGCCGTGTACAGGAGGATAAGGGGCCGTTTTGCGCAAGGCGCTGGCAGCATGGGCCGCACCGTTCGGGAGCGTCGGAGGGCGAGCAGCAGCGGCGCATGGAGGCGGCGGCTGCCGTGCAGAGAGGCGCACGGGGCAGGGCGTTGCCTGGGACGCATGCGGGCCGCGGCGCGGCGGTCCGCATCGACTGCGGCCTCGCCGCCCTCTCACCGCGCCCTCGGGAGGCAAGCGCTGGAACGGGTGGAACAGGGACAGCGGCAGGGCCGAGCGGCTGCGGCGGGGTAAAGCGAGCCAGCGTGTCATCGGCGCGCGACGCCATGGCCGTCGTGTGCACGACGTCGAGCCGCCGCGACGCAGCATCTGGGGCACACCTGCTGCAGGCCGATCAAACAATATATAAGCCATATCATGCGCTGCCTACCCTGCCTGGCATGATCCCCGGGACACCGCGCTTGCACTCACAGGCTGAAGCGCTGCTGTCCTGACTGATCCAGATCGCCAGAAGCACGTGTAACGACTGCTCTTCTGACCAAGGGAACGTGCAGGAGCCCCCGGCGGGCTGTGCTGACCTCTCCCGCGCGCGCTGCGACCCATCCGTGGTCCCTGAGTTGGGCCAGTTTCGCCATCAGTTCGAAGGTGGCTTGAATCTGGCGTGTCACAGGACGAGGCGCCGAAGGGCACAAGGTGGAGGGTCGCGACGAGACTTCAAGTGCTCGCAAAACGGGGATGTATACGTGCTGAGATGTTATGTGATGGATATAGTGCTGTGCGAGGATTCTTTTAATACTGTGCAGGCCTGCGCGTGGGAGGTCGGCGATCACCGGGCGAGCGCCGCTTTTCTCGTTGAGTCATTAGCGACGGACGGTTGCAGAATCGCGGTAACCGCAGAGCCATGCCTACAAAACCAAGGTGCCATACGAACACATGGATAACACTGCTATCAATTTTGCATGCTGCTGCTGAGTGTATACGGCCCTGTCGTCCTGTGCAGGGGAGTGCGTTGGTGTCAGGTTGGCGCAGGTCGCAGCGCCCGGCAGCATGTGAATATGTTGAAAGGCAGCCAGCAAGGTGGGAAAGCGCTCGATACCATGGGGGCAGGGCAATGCGCGTGAAAGAATACCGCATGCCAGCATCCCTGCTGACCGCGCAGTGGAGGGCCATAATGCAGTTTTGTGCGCAGGCACACAGCAGTGGGGCGGAAACCGCCAACAGAAATTAGCGCAACGTGACGGGCTAGCATCCATGCAGCCAGACGACTTTGCATTTGCGGAAACACTCCTGCCTGCAAACCCAGTCCAAGGATGCCCCAAGTCGGAGGCATGCACGCCTGACCAAGCAGCCAAGCGTTCAAATGCCAGTGCCTCTGGCCTGGGGTTAATGTCAGCGCACAGCAGCTAGTGTCACATGAGTGCCTTGCATTTTGCACAACTGGTAATCTGCGCGTGTCGACCAGAGATACAACAAGTCGTGCCCGTGGGTCAACGGGAATCCCACCTGTTGTTGGTGCCTGCACATGACCTAGCGCAAAGGGATGCAGGATAATGTATGCCGCGTTGGCCGACCTGCCGTGTCAGGTTGCGGTCAACTGCTTGCGACAGCGCCAGCTCTTGTCGCCCGCTGCACACACCTGGTGCCCCTGCTGGCGTGCTGCGCGGCCATGGTCCAAGCATCCACGTTTCACATGGAAACATATACCTCATCCGTTAATTCTCCGGCGCTCTGGCATTGATAAAAGGCCACTGCTTCGTGCTGGCTTGGCACACGAGTTCAGGCTCGCTCAGCTGGAAATAAAGGGCGAGCAGGCTGCCATTTAGTTGCCCCAACATGTCGACAGCACGCCGGCGCCCGTCAGGGGCCTGACCACGCCGCGGGGCGAAAGCTTGGAAACAGGACCGCAATGGCCGCGTGCAAAGTCAGTCAGGCCCTTGACAAAGGGCCGTCACAGGGTCCGCTAGGATCGCTCGTGCTGCTTGACGCCGAGCCCGCCGGCGCCAGCGCGTGGGACGTTCCAGCTGCTGGCGTGCTCGCAGCCCAGCTCACAATGGGAGGCCCGACGCCTGTCGGATCGCGTCAGGTAAGGACGTGTCATCGGCGGCAGTGCGTCCCTGGGCCCAGCGCCTGTGCTTTCGTCGAGCGCTGGATCTGCGGAGGTGGTGCTGTGCACCTCCTGCTGTTCTTGACCACGCACACGCATTTTCCCGCCGCTGCATTTCGCTAGGGTTGTGACAAGCAGCGCTACACGGAAGACGGCGCGCGGCTTGTGGCTGGGTGAGCGGCGCGGTTGGGGTGGCTTAGGCACAACCCTACCCCGGCCTGGAATGCGCGAGGCGCGGACCACAAACGGCCGCGAGGCTGCCGCTGGTGCAGGCTGCAACGACACAGCATGGCATGACGGCCGCAGCATGGCATGGCATGGCAGCCGAAAATAACGGGCCAGCACTCGCGACCCCATGCGCAGCCGCGGGCGCGTGTGCGCATGCGCGCACGCACGAGCACCGCCGCCCACCCGCGCCCGCCGCGCGCGGCCCCGGGCGTCTCGCGCGCGCGTATGCAGGTGCATACCTGTCCGGTACAGGGGCGCGCCTGGCGCCGCGGCTGACGCGGAGGTTCTCCTCATAACCAGCAGGGCCGGCAAGGGCTGGGGCTTCCCCAAGGTGTGTGCACTCTCTGTCTGTCTCTTGCGCGCGCCTTTGTCGCGGGCGCAGCCGCAGGCGCGGCGGCCCGCGGCGAGGCGGCGCTCGGGCACTCACAGTCAGCGGCACGCAGCGAGATGGCGGTTGGGCCGGCCGCAGATGGGGTCGCTTGTTTGGCGGTGGGTTCGAGGGCTGTCGGTGGGCGTGCGGCGGCCAGATCATCGATTGGATGATCAAGGCGCCTTCGTTGTGATGATGTGGGGTTCTGATGCACCGTCTCCACGCCTGTCATGTCGTACGCGCATGCCAGGGTGGCTGGGATGACGATGAGACGGTTGAGGGCGCCGCGCTGCGGGAGACGGTGGAAGAGGCCGGCGTGCGCGGCCAGATCCAGGTGCGCCGGCGAGGCGCGCCTGCTGCCACGGGAGCCAAGGAGGGGGGGTTCGCGGCGGCGAAAAGCCTGGCTTCTGTTCCCTCAATTGCCCTGCCGCTGCACAAACACAGCCCACCCACAAATGCACACTTCAGCACTTCGCATGCACACGGTCTCTCTCACACACATGGACGCACGCTCACGCTCTCATATTCGCCTTGTCACTCCGCTCGCTGACTCAGCTCCCCAAGATCGGCATCTTCCACTTCCAAGGCCACAAGCAGGCGCCCGGCGCCAGCCCCCACCAGGCGCGCTGCGAGGCGCACATGTTTGCCCTCGTGGTCGGGGAGGAGCTGCAGGCCTGGCCCGAGCACCGGCAGAGGCAGCGCCGCTGGGTGCGCCGCGCGAGGGGGTGGGGCCGGGGCAGCCGCTGGGCGCGGGCCGGCGCTTTGGCAGGGGTGCCCCCTCGGCTTCTGGCGGGGCGGCTCGCGCTCCTTGGTGCCGTCTTAGGGATTCTCAGCACCGAGCATGAGTGCTTGCAGCATGTGGTGGCCTGCGTGACCGCCTCCACCAGCATCGTGCAGCCAGTTGCCGCGCTCTGGCCCAGTGTCGTTTTTCCCCACACGCGACCCCGGCCCCCTGCAGATGTCGCTGCCCGAGGCGAGCGCCAGTTGCCGGCACCAGTGGATGCGGGACGCACTGCACATGTGGGCCGCCGCAACCCACAGCCTGCGGCTGCCGGATGGCCCCGAGCGCATGGACTCGGAACCCACCCCTTTTTGATGGCATATAGGGGACGCGCACGGGCGTTTGCGCTGCGCGCCCCTCGTCCGCAGTCCGCAGCGCAGGCGGCCTGCGCATTGCTTTGTGAAAGAAGAGCGGGCGCGCAGTGCCCTCCACGCGCGAGGGCCCGCTGCCCATGATCCCGCACGCAGCTGGGGGCCCCGCTGCCCGTGTTCGATTTGTGTCACACCATCAATTTCCCCAGCTGAAAAGAACCAATCTAAACTGTGCTCCTCAGCGCCCAGCCTCTGCATCCCGCCGTCGCCGTTTATTCTGCTCCTCTTGAGCCCGTTGCCAGACAGGACGCGCGTGCCGCGTGGCGAGCGCACTCTCTTGCTGCCAATGCCTTACGCCCCTTGGGATGCGCGCCAAAATGACTGCGCTCTGTCGAGAGGCAACGCCCTCGCTGCTTTGCCCCATGTCTTACCGCCCTGTTGGTGCGCTGCCGTGCACCGCTTTGCCGTGCCTTTTTTGGGAGGGGCCCGACCCTCCCTTGTACATGTATTAAGCAGCCCCGCGCCTCCCTCAAGAGGGGGCAGGGGTCTGCGAGCCAACGCACCGCATGTTTACGAGTTGCCTGCTCGCCAACCTTACCAATTTGGCGCTGAAGCGCCCCTCAATCAGCAGAAGCATTGCCCACTTGCCTGCTGCGTGGCCCTGGACCCTGATTGGACTGCCGGTAGCGGTGCAAATGCATGTGATGACGCCAACGACTGCTGTAATGGTGCGTTCTGTTGTATGTCACTCAGGGTCTCCGCAACCTGATGGGTCAATGAGGCGGGGTACGAGGATGGCACTCCACTGCCAGCGGCACAATGGCACACATCGCCCACGCCGTGCTGCTCAACATAGGTTGAACTCAACATAGGTTGAACTCAAGGCAGAAGAGTGGTGAATTCGCCGCCATAATACTTGAATTTATACAGAATAACGAGCACAGCATGGGCTCTTGTGACACACGAGCTGAGCTAGATCGCGATGGACAACACCGGCGTGGACCTCTGCGCCCTTGGCTGGCGGGTACTCAAATGCGATGCCGACCATCCGTACTACGCACGACTGCAGCTCCCAGGCATTCAGGTGCGGCACCCGACTGGGCGCCTTTCGGGCCCAGCACTGCTCACCAGCTGCTTGTTTGAACCGCGCGCGCGCCGTCGCCGCCGCATGCCCCAAGGGCCTGGAGGCGCTGACGTCGCTGCTAGCTGAGCGCTACGGCCTGGACCTGCCAGAAGGCGCCTTTGGCGCGGCGGTGGACTTGAAGCTCGGCCATGCCGCGACCATGACGCGCGTCCGAGCCGCGCTCGACGCGGCCGCTGCGGCCGCGGCGGCGCCGGGCCGCCGCGGGCCGACTGCGGGTGAGCAGGGCCTATTGCCCAGCCCTTGGGTTGCGGCGCATCTGAGCTTTGCGCATGCATTTGATACCGGCGCGCGCCGCTGGGGCGGGCGGAAAGTGCACCGCCCCGACCAATCCTCGGCTGTTCTTCGCTGTGAATGCAGGGGCTGCCCCGTCCGGCGAGTTGGCCGGGGCAGCGCTGGCGCCTCCAGGCCCGTGGTCCCCCCACGCGAGCAGCCGGCAGCTGGCCAGCCACCTCGTGACGCCGCACCGCCGCCGCCCGCCGCCGCGCATCGCCTTTGGCCGGGCCGCCGCCGCCTCCGCCTTGCCGGCGGGCGGCGCGCCGCCGAAGGGCGCCGGCGCCCCAGCAGTTGCGGGAGGGAAGAGCGACGCCCGTGCAGAGCCTGCAAAGGGGGGCACGGTCACCGACACACAAGCCGCGGCCAGCCGCAGTACCATCGGGCGCCGGCCGTCCAGCATCGAATCTGCGCTGCTGATGCAGGCCGCGGCAGCGGCGGCGCCGCCGCCCCCGCAGCCATTTGGCACAGACGCGGGCGTGGAAGCGGCGTCGGCGGATTGTGGAAGCTCTGGACTCAGCGGCTGCGGCAGCAGCTGCAACGCGACCGCCGCGGCGCTGAGCCCCGACAGGCAGCTGCCAGATTACTACTCGTCCGATGACGTCAGCGACGCCGGCGGCAGCCCACGGGTGCTGTGGCACAACGCGTTGGCTGAGGGCGTCGGGCCGCGCGAGCTGTGGCCGCAGGAGGGCTGGGGCGACGCGTCTGATTTCGTTGGCTGCGGCAGCAGCAGCGGGAGCTGCGGCTCTGGCGGCGGCGGAGCAGGCGGGGCGAGTGGTGGAGCAAATGGTAGGGCGTCGGAAGCGGCGGCAGCGGGAGCTGCCGAGTTGGCAGGTGCGGTTGATGGTGCTGACAGGGGCAGCTTCCCGTCCAACGCCGGCTCAGAGTCACGCGCCGAACAACGTCACACCCGCAGTCGCGGGGGCGCCAGCCGAACTGGCAGTACGGGCACCTCCGGTGCGCTGCTGCTTGCGCAGAGGGCAGGAAGTCGGACTCACTTAACGCAGCAGCCGGACGACCCACTTGGGACTGAAGCGGTCACACCTGCCATGACATTAGCTGCTGCTGCTGCTGAGGCGGCAACAACAGCTATGGTGAAACCAGCGAACGCCGCTGCAGTGGCGGCGGCGGATGCGAGAAGAAGAGCGCAGATGGCAGCAGCGGCTCCCGACAGCCCGCCCCGCGAGTGTCGAGCCCCCACGCCTGGCGACGAGGCACGCGCTCCGCCGCCGCCTGCCGACAGCACGGTAGATGACGGCGCAGCTGCGGCGCAGCTGCCGCCGCCGCTGCCGCAGCACCAGCAGCAGCAGCAGCAGCAGCAACAGCAGCAGCACCCACAGCCACTGCCCGCGCACGTAGAGCCCGCAACCCCTCCACGCGGCAAGCAGCTGTCGCTGGGTGTCCTGTCGACTCTGTCCCCTGTCCAGCCGGCACCGAGCCCGCAAGGCAGACCGCTGGCACTTGAAATGGTTGCATTTGATGCGCCTCCGTCACCAGAGCAGCAGGATCTGCAGGAATACGAGCGTCCAGCCACCCAGCAGGATGGCAAGCAGCAGCAGCAGCAGCAGCAGTACTTGAGCGATGCAGAAGGCTTGCGTCCACAGCAGCACCAGCAGCAGCGGCAGCAGCAGCAGCAGCAGCAGCAGCAGCAGCAGCAGCAGCAGCAGCAAGCCATCGTAGTGTTGGGCGCATGCGACGAGGCGGGCGGCGAGCATGAAGCGGGGGCCGGGGGTGGTCTGGCGCCCCTCTTGATGACCGTGAGCCCAGAGCCCGCCGCCACGCGCGCAAGCGCCGCCACCCGGCGCTCCTGGCTGCAGCAGGCATCCCTCAAACTCTTCACGCTCGCCACGCCTCGCCCCCGCCCGCCAGCCGCGCCCGGCGGCGCCGCCGCCGCGGCGGCCGCGGCCGCGGCG